ACAGGCTCTCAGTGGTCAGCCACCAAGACCAGCACATTCTGCTGTTGTAGATCTCTTTTTTTATGTCTCACACTGAAAAACAGATGACCTCCATATTTCCTCATTATAACCTAAACCTACAACAGTGTCTCAGACATAGTAGGTGTTCAGTAAATATGAATAAATGAATATAAATTCAAATTCTTTATTCAACTAATGTCATCTTCTGAGCTTGTTAATTTTGAGCTGTCTTCCTATTTCTTTGATCTTATTTGAACTTAGTAGTATTTTCTATCTATAATTAGCAAATTCACAGTAAATGTCAATGTTAATGTTTAATTAATGCATGATTTTATATGATAATAATAAAACAATACCCATATTTTCCATAACTAACTGAAGAAAAATGACCTGAAGTTTTTTTGTTTGTTTGTTTTTTTCGAGATAGGGTTTCTCTGTGTAGCCCTGGCTGTCCTGGAACTCACTCTGTAGACCAGGCTGGCCTCGAACTCTCGAACTCAGAGATCCACCTGCCTCTGCCTCCCAAGTGCTGGGATTAAAGGCGTGCACCACCACCACCCGGCTCTGAAGTATTTTTTAGGCAGGCATTTTCAGAGGTAGTTTAATAATAAAGAGAATCGTTCTGGAAAGTACTAAGAAGTTTTGGTGTGCAAATAATCTCTCGTGGGGCAGAAATGCCTGGTGGCAAATAGTGTTAGGTGCATGCAACCAGCTCCAGCCATGGCCAGCTGTTCAGACCTTAAGGTGGGATGGGAAGGGAAGACAGATGTATCAAATTTGCCATTTGAAGAGATTAGTCCTTTATCTGGCAGCCCCTGGCATGCACCTTTGGCATACAGCTTTCCACTGGCAGCTTTGCTCACCTGTATCAGTGTACCCCAGGGCTATTAGCTTCCTGGTGCCCAGACACTGTGAGAAAACTGGGCATTGGTGAACAGTTACACACTGCCTCCCATCTCTCTTTCCCACTAGTTATATTCCTGTCAGACAGCTAGTCCCTGGGCCACCATTCTAATTCTAATTCTGATTCTGATTCTGATTCTGATTCTGATTCTGATTCTGATTCTGATTCTGATTCTGATTCTGATTCTGATTCTAATTCTATTCTATTCTAGTGCCCAGTTCTCTGTGACACATAGTAGGTGCTTAAAGAACCAGAAAAACGTGATAGTGTAAGCATGCCTAGGAATTTCTGCTTGTTCTGCTTAATGCTTCTTTTTTTCCTTTTTAGTTACTTGGTTCTTTGAACCCAACCTCAAAATCCTTGTAGCTGCTGCTTAATGTGTAATGTCTAGCTGAGAAAGCACGAGGTACTGTTAGACCTCACAACTCGACCCTTAGGGATCCTTTTGAAAATCCTGGTGACATGGCTCGCATTTTGTAGAATCAACCTGCCCACTCTGCACACAGCACATGGACACTGTTGGCATCCTCACTGGTCCAGAGGAAAAAGAATATGGAAGTGTTCATGTTGATCACTCCTAACCTCCAGTAAGTTCTCCTCCTGGCGGATGCCATTTTTACCTTTCAGCAAACATCAGGTGAAGGCCCGCCCCTAGGGAAGGTCAGGAGTGCCTCCTGCAGATTACTCAGTGCTTCTGTAGATTGCTTCCACTAGCTTTGGGAGTACTTGGTCACCAAATGCAGCTCAGACTGGAGCATAGCTCAGTGTTAGGACATTCACCTAGCATGTGGCCCTGGACTTGATCCCAGCATGGTCTACATAAATAAGCAATCAGTTGTCAAATGAGCAGGAACAATGAGTTAGTTTTCAGTTGATGATGGTGTCTGACAGCAGTGACTGTGGAGATGTTGACAACCAACTTCCATAACGCATCCCTGCAAAGCTCACTGACTTACTTTCCACTCAGTATCTCGGCAGCCGGCCTTCTGTGGAGCTTAAGGCATCTAGTGTGGTAGCACTGGGAACTGAGGCTGCCCTTTAATGGGTCACTTTATAGTGACTTTTGTTTGTTTATTTTTTATTTTATTGAAAAGGGTCTCAGTATTTAGCCCAGGCTGGATTTGAGATTGTGGTGCTTGTACTGCCTCAGCCTCTTAGTGCTGGGATTGTTGTTATGAGCTACTGTGCCTGGTTTACAACGCCTTAAGGTGTTCTGCATGTGTAAACATGCTTAAGTAAGAGTGAGGGTTGGAAGGAAAGGTGTGTGTGTGTGTGTGTGTGTGTGTGTGTGTGTGTGTGTGTGTGTAGTTCAGAGGATAATTTTCAGAAACTTAGGTCTCACCTTCTTCCACTGTGTGTAGGGCCTGGGAGTAGAATGAACGCTGATTGTCAGGTTTGGTAGCAAACACTTTTACTTACTAAGCTGTTTCGCCAGCCCTGAAAGACTTTTCTGGGAATCACTTCACTGTAGATTTAGGTGAAGCAAGATAAAATATGTGCCTTGAACTCAGAATTTCACCTTAACTGCAAAGTCTCAGCATGGTTTAAATTGAGAAGGTGATTTGAATAGTTCAGTTTGCCATTCCATTTTTGGATTGGGGGGCGGGTTGCCTTCGCTTTGTGACTTTGTTGTTTTCTGAATTTTTAAAAAAAGAATAATTATTCCTAAATGATCACTAGTGTCCATTGTGCCATTTGTCTTTGTGAATAGAACATTGCCTTCAAATTATTAGTGGTTTTAATGAGAGGACGTGGGCAGGGTGGGAGGTGTGACTATCGTCTATTAGAACAGTGATCTCAGTTTTATGTCACTTGATCCCCTCAGCAATTCTGTAAGGTAATCGATACTATCCCATCACAGAGATAAGGGTAAAGACAAGATCAGGGAGACAACCTGCTTAGAGCAGTCAGAGTTTCAGGCCTTGGTTTTAAGAGAATTCAATTCTTTCTAGTCTCCCATCTCCTTTTACTCTCCTGAATGGTGTGAGCAGTTCATTCATGCACCAGTGACTGTCAAGTGGTGTATATCATGCTGGGCCTTAGGAGCGAGCAGTCAGTGGTCTGTGCCCTGATGGAATTACAGTGGCACAATGAGATGTGTGCTTCATCGAGATTAGTCCTGACCTGAGGATTGCCAAGAGTAGAAGAAGGTATAAACGTGCACTGTAGGAGCCTTGGTTAAAGTCATGTTCGTTTGCACTGAGGGGGCAGAGGAGATGTAGAAGAGTGGGGTGGATCTGAGACGCCTGTGGGATGGAGGGTTGGTATGATTGAAGGGTGATAAGAATTTGGACGGTGCCGGAAGAATTGAGAATGACTTCAGGTGTGATTTGGGTTGTGTGTTGTTACCCTTAATAATTTGTGGAAGGACAAGGCAGGATGCAGACCAGAATAATGATAACAATATATGTGTTAGTTTCGTTAGGTTCCACTAGGCTGGTAAACATCTGAGAACTCCATGGAGATCTAGGACCATGAGAGACTGTTGAGTATCACTCACATATCAATGCTCTATGAAGCCACAGGAGCTTCCATCATCTAGGGAAAGGCAGACATGTATAGGCAGCAGAAGCCAAAAAAGGCACTGTTACAGATCCACCTTCTACAGAGAATCGTCAGCTCATTTGTTAACTTAGAATTGGATGCAAATGTAGTAGCCCTTCCTGTGTAGGGAAGGTAGCTCATCCTGTAGCCCTGCATAGGAAATATTAACCACCATGCACCCTGCAAGATGCCAACACCTTAGCAGCTTTCAACTGGACTGACGTGTCTGTGTGACTCTTAGGGCTACATCTAAGCGTCCTAATGGGGATCTTTGCTGGAGCTCCCAGGCACACGAAAAGATCACCTATATCTTTAGATATAGGTGAAGAGTGAAAACGTTATGTTCCCATTGACATACAGAAAGTAGAACATCTAGGTTTGACTAGCTTGCAAATGGAATCACATTAGTCTTAAAGACACTCCTTAAAACAAAGCAGTTTGGATAGTTTGGTGTACTTTGGGTTGCTCAGTAGACAGAATTATAAATGTTAACATCTCAGGATGCCAAGAGTGAAGGAAGCCTCTTAGGAACAGTTGAAAATAGGACATCCCCAGTGGGCACTACCTGGAAACCATTCAAATGCAAGATAGCAGGTAAACAGTGGGTGGTTCAGTAGACCCACACACAGCAGTACCGTTGACTGTGCTGAATATAAAATACTTTTTAAAGGAAGGAAGCCAGACACCAAAGAACGAAGACTGTATGATCTCATTTATATAAAGCTCAAGAACAGGATTTAAAAAAAAAAAACTGAGGACAGTGGAGATGATGCCTGGGCAAAGGGAGGCGTGGGAAGTGCAGGGGGACTGAGATGCTCTGTGAGCCGAGGACGGTGCTGCTTATACAGTGCATTCATCTGTCCCAGCTTATTAACTTGCATACTTAGATTTGTTCACTTCACTGTGACTTTGAAGTCAGCAGCAAAAACAGAAAATGAAAACATATGCAGAGCAGTTGCGTGGGAATAATTCTGTGGACTACATGCCTGCTGTTTCAGGCTCAGGGAACTCATCGCTTCAGGTCCAGAATGAGTTCTTTTTACACACTGCGATCTGTGCGCCATAAATATCTATTCCAACAAGACTACTGAGCAACTCAGATCGCTTGAGGTAGTATTCTAAATTACCTTAGGAGGACAGGTGAAAGCTGTGCGTGTTTCCTCCCACATTGTACGCTTGGGTTTTTGTTTTGTTTTGTTTTTTTGGTTTTTCAAGACAGGGTTTCTCTGCATAGTCCTGGCTACTCACTCTGTAGACCAGGTTGGCCTCAAACTCAGAAATCCGCCGGCCTCTGCCTCCCAAGTGCTGAGATTAAAGGCGTGTGCCACCACTGCCTGGCTCACATTGTACTCTTGTACACTCAAGGCTGCAGCAGGGAGCTCACAGGACTTACCTGAGGGTGGAACTAACAGCCTCTGCCTTCCTTATCTAAGCCAGATAGAGGTAGCACAGTGGGAGGGAGAAGGCAGAGGTCACCTGCAGGAAGTGTTCTTGTGACTTGAGAAACCGCTTCCACCATTATTCATGTTGCATTATTTGTTCTTTTGAACAGGATATAGTGGATAACCTCCTTCAAAATGGAAGATGGAAAGCCCGTTTGGGCACCCCACCCCACAGATGGATTTCAGATGGGCAATATTGTGGATATTGGCCCTGACAGCTTAACAATTGAACCTTTGAACCAAAAAGGCAAGGTGAGTTTCTCAGAGAGATTTCAAAATGAGATCTCCTTCAAACACACACACACACACACACACACACACACACACACACACACACACAAATACATATATTTCTCCCAAGAAAGGTAAAAATGAAAAAATATTCCTGCCATAGTGGAGGAGACAAATGTCTGGAAATGAAAATGAAGTTTTGAACTGACTTCCTTGATTAAATGGGACCTGTGCACTATGAGGAAATAGGAGCCTGTGATAATCAGAAACCTAGCATTCTAAGTTGGGTGATAACATACAGTCAGTGGCAGCAGTTTTATCCCATATGCTACACTATTAGAATCACAGGGTTGGCTGTGATGTAGTCAGTGTGTTATAAAGTAAACGTGATTGCTGCTATGATGTCAAGTTTTTCCAGGGAGCTTCAACTCCCCTTTTCCTGTTTTTCTTTTTCTTTCTTTGTTTCTTTCTTTTTTGTTTACTTAAACTTACTTATTTACTTAGACTTATATACTGTGGGATTGAGATAAATATGTTTTTGTTGTTTTTGTGCTTTGTAGTTTATTTTTCAAATTTTATTCTATGTGCTTTGACTGCATGTATGTCTCTCTGAAGATGGCAGATCTTGGAGTTATAGATGGTTGTGAGCTGCCATGTAGGTACTAGGATTTGAACTTGGGTCCTCTGGAAGAGCAATCAGTGCTCTTAACAGCTGACCCATCTCTCCAGCCCCAGATATTTGAGTCTTAAACCTCCCACATATTTTTATGATAATAATATAAAATATGCTTTAATTCTATATATATATATATATTATTTACATCCTTAAAAAAAAACTTAGACATAGACTAGTCAAGATTTGTAAGTGGAAGTTGGGGGAAAGTGACCAGGAGTTGTGACTTTCGTACAATAAGGGCCTCCATTGTGGACATGCATCTTTCTTGCAGTTTTCACAAGGTTGGGTCTTTTTGGTGCCACAGTCTCACAGTTAACAAATAATCCTATTAGATGTTTCTTCTGAGTAAATGTACAGATGAAATTTCTGTTTATTTCAGACTCTGCAAATCTCCATGAATAATTTACATTCTACCAATACGTGGTTAACTAATGCCATATGACTGCCATCCTTCTGGGAACCTTAGAAAAACAAGATGGATCTCTCATGAGAGTTTTTCAGAGAGAACACTGTTCTGTTACTGTAAACAACCCAGGAACCAGAATGCATAATATATACTGGGCCAGTGTTAGTGGAGGCCAATTAAAGATGCCTTCAGGAAAGGAAAAGACAAAGTGTTCTTGCCTTCCCTTGTTAGTGGTGACTCTGTGTGCTTTCAGTGCACTGCATATCTAACAAGTGAGTTTTTAAGAGTTCACACACAATAAATTTTGAAAGCTTTACCTTTTGCTTAACTTGTTTTGTAAGCACAGTGAGCTAAAAGGCAGGAGTGAATCAAGGGCTGAACCTTCTGAGTCTGATCTCTTGTGGTCTGTCTCATCTGTAGGTGACAGAATAGTTCAGTTCAAGAATAAACTAAACTCAATTTGAGGGGCTGTGTTTGTATTAAGTACTGTACATATGTCAATGTGTTCTGATCTATGTCATATTACTGTTTATCAGGCACATATGTAGAACATGGCAGTGTAGTTGAATTAAATTATTTTTTGGGTATTTAAGAGACTTGGTTGCCCCTCCTCCGAAGCATTCATTCCTCATCTAGAGTTTTCCTCATTGACTGTAGCTCCTGGAAGGCTAGGACCAAGCCCTCCCTCTGTGACAATGTTTACATAATTCTATGGTGTTAGCAGCTATTTCACAATGGATTTTTCTATGAAATCATTGCTGTGAATTGATATCTTCTTTTACATAATGCTCACTTTCTGGTTCATGTTGATCCAAGTTCACTTTTGAAAATGTGGTCTCTCCTCTAAACCAAACATCTATAACACTGAGAACATATGCATTAGGTTGCAAAGAATTAACTTTCAGAGTGTTGAGTTCAACAGTCTTCTAAGTTGGATGTGCCTTTGCTGTTGTTTTTTTGTAGTACCAGAGACTGCATCCAGGGCCTAAAATTTTTCCATCAGGGCTTCACCACTGAGCTCTGTCCCCAGACCAATAAACTGGTGATGACTTTGAATTGGAATTGTCTTTGAAGCCTGGATTTTACTTCATAAACTATGATAATCATATTGTATACAGTTTTCCTGCACACATAGAGTTACAAATATTGTTTTTTCTTTTACTGGGGGATCAGACCAGGACCTTGCACATACTGAGCATAAAGTCTACCATGAAGTGAAACCCTGCACATGTCACTATAAAGGAACCAAACCATTTTTCCTTCAGAGTTTCATTTGATAGAGTTGGAAATGTCAACCAGAAGAGCTAATTGTAATTATTTAGAGGTATAAATTTATAAATAACTGTTAAGATAGCATGGATTAAAATTTAATTCTCTTTAGATGTAATTTGAGATCATTTGTTCTCTATTACAAGATGCTATCTTAATTCTACAGTGTCTCCCATAGCATTTTAAGTGACAAATGAATGTAATTGTCTTTATGGGTTATTATTATTTTTGAAACAGGGTCTTATGTAGCTTTGCCAGGCCTCAACTCATTATATAGTCAAACATGAGACTGAATTCCTGATCTTCCTGTTTGCAGCTCCCAAGTGCTAGGGTTACAGGCATGTACCACCACACCCTGCTGTTTGTGGGTTCTTTTAATTACATATACCAGATATTTTTATATTTTTGATGGACTTTTGTGTAGGAATTGACTTAAAATATGTTTCTCAAATAACAATACTTTGTTTATATGTAACTGATTGTGAACATTTTTGTTTTTAAAACAATAAAATTATTTATATGGAAATCTAAAATGCTCTTAATTTTTGGTAACTAGCATGTCCCTAAGTAGAAATTTAGGATTAGTGTGTTTGTTACTTTGGCCTGTTGAGGCTGTGAGAACTTGGGTTGCTTTATTTGTTAATTACTGTTATTGATTCATGTCTACAGTAGTAGCAGACACAGTTTTTGCTGAGAGTTACTGTCTTCTGAATGAGCGCTTTGTTAAGTAGTAGAATCTGTGTTATACTATAATAGAAAATGTATTATTGTGGTCATTACTATATGTAACCAGCTGAACTCCTTGTCTTTTTCACTATTTAAAAGTCAGTTGCTCAAACCTTTGTTTGCTTGTTTGTTTGTTAGACATTTTTGGCTCTGATAAACCAAGTATTCCCTGCAGAAGAGGACAGCAAAAAAGATGTGGAAGATAACTGTAAGTATTAAGTTCAAAGTTATCTCTCCATTCCACAAAACTACCTGCTCTTCCAGAAAGCAAGTTAGTGATTGTGTTACTAATACAGAAGACGAGGTCAGAACACACAGGCTTAGAATGAGCTCCCAAGAGCTTGGAGGGCCTGGGTCTGTTACTGCTTCCCATGTGTGCTTCCCTGAAAGTCTCATGAGCCATGAGCGGCTCCTACTGTTATTTTACATGTGTGTGAGTAGGGTGATGATTTATGCTGAGGCTTCAACTAAAAGCCTCTTCTTAGTAGTGTTGAAAGTCATTTCAAACCTCACAGTGGGATGTAGTTCATACTAGCTTGGAAGTTGACAGAAAGAGTCATTTAATACCTCTCTGTGGATAAGGCAAACCAACAGTAGATAAAACAAAACAACACAGAAGAATAATTTATAATTGAAAAGTTTGTTTCAGAGTGTTATGTTAAAACATAGTATTAATTTGACTTGTCAACACCTTAAAATATTCAGTGAAAAATACTTTATTCATTCAACAGGGTATATTTATTTTTACATTTTCTTTTCTTTTCTTTTTTTTTCCAAGTCAGACAAAAATGGTCAGGTTTTTTGTTTTTATTTATTTTATTGGATTTTTTATTTACATTTCAGATGTGATCCCCTTACCCCATTTCCCCCCAACCCAGGAACCCTCTACCCCATCCTTCCTCCTCCTGCTTCTATGAAGATGTGCCCCCCACCCATCCCCCACTCCCACCTCCCCACCCACAAATTCCCCCCACACTGGAGCATCTAGCCTTCAGGAGACCAAGGACTTCTTCTCCTACCTATGCCCTACAAAGCCATCCCCCCACTACATATACAGCTGAAGCCAGGGGTCCCTCCCTGTGTGCTCCCAAACTGGTGGTTTAGACCCTGGGAGTTCTGGTTGGTTGGTATTGTTGCTCTCCCCATGGGGCTGCAAACCCTTTCAGCTCCTTCAGTCTTCTCTCTAACTCCTTTGTTGGGAACCCCATGGTCAGTTCAATGGTTAGCTGTGAGCATCTGCATCTGTATATGTCAGACTCTTGCAGACCTCTAAGGAGACATCCATATCAGGCTCCTGTCAGCATGCACTTCCTGACTTCCACATCAGTGTCTGCCTTTGGTGACTGCACAAGGGATGGATACCCAGGTGGAACAGTCTCCAGATGACCCCTCCTTCAGTTTCTGTCCCTCACTTTGTCTCCATATTTGCTCCCTTGAGTATTTTGTTGCTCCTTCTAAGAAGGACCAAAGCACCCCCACTTGGTCTTCCTTCTTCATGAGCTTCATGTGGCCTGTGAGTTGAATCTTGGGTATTTCAAGGTTCTGGGCTAATATCCAATAATCAGTGAGTGAATACCATGTGTGTTCTTTTGTGATTGGCTTACCTCACTCAGGATGATATTTTCTAGTTCCATCCATTTACCTAGGAATTTCTCAAATTGATTGTTTTTAATAGCTGAGTAATACTCCATTGTGTAAATGTACCACATTTTTTGTATCCATTCCTCTGTTGAAGGACATCTGGGTTCTTTCCAGCTTCTGGATATTATAAATAAGGCTGCTATGAACATAGTGGAGCATATGTCCTTGTTATATGTTGGAGCATCTTCTGGGTATATGCCCAGGAGTGGTATAGCTGGGTCCTCAGGCAATGTTATGTCCAATTTTCTGAGGAACTGCCAGACTGATTTCCAGAGTGGCTGTACCAATCAGTATCCAAAAGTAATCACATTTTATTAGTTGTTTTGGAATTTCTACCACTGTGTTAATGGATTTAATTAATTTAAATCTATTAATTTACTTTAAATTAGTTTAAAAAGGTTTGTTTTGGTTTGTAGATTGGGAGATTTCAGTCCATGGTCATTTGCCCACACTGTATTTGAGCCTTTGGTGAGATGCAGTGTATCCTGGCAGAGACATGTGGTAGAGGAAGATGCATACTTCACTGAAGCCAGGACACAAAGAAATAGCTAAGAAAAGCTCGTGCCCCACACCATCCCTTTAAGGCATACCCTAGTGGCTTGCCTAAGACCTTCCTTTAGGGGCCACCTTGTAAAGGTCTCCTCTTTTTCTAACAGTTCCAAGTGAGGTACCAGGCCTTAACAGTAGTGTCTTTAGAGAACATTCTAGATCCAAACTGTAGTGGGGTAGGTGTGGTATTTGAGGATCATTTCTAGCTACCATGGATTTCCTTAGAAGTTATCTGACCTTAAATACTCCACAGAAAAGAAGATAAGAGAGAGATGTAGATTTATTCTTACTGTTGTTCACTGGAGTTTACAATTAAGCTGGAAAGATGCCCCATATAAAAAGCAGGTGTTGTGAAATAGTGGTGGTACTGGGGGCACTGTGGGCCTAGGGGAAGGTAGTCCTGGTTCTGATTCTGACTTCAGTTTGGAAGCTAATGTTCCTGCAGGCCACATTGCATCTCTTTTGGGAAGCTCATCTTCGAAGCGGGAGTAATTATGCATGTTGCTTAGAGGTGATGCACTCAAGACGTTTGACAGAATACCTGACTCAGTAAATGGCGGCTGTTATTGTTAGGTGCAAGGATTGAGAAGTATTTTCTTCTTTCCCAAGTAACAGAGAGTTTGACAAAACAATGTGGTTTTGAATAGTAATCAAGGCAAAATAGACAGAAAACATGATGAACACATAACATGTTGAAAACAATAGAAAGGTGTCTCTCTGTTAACAATTTCTAGGGGGCCGATGAGATGACTTAGTGGGTACTGGCACTTGCCACAGGCCTGAAGACTCCTGAATTTGGAATCCAGGATCCACAAAGTGGAAAAACAGGACTGATCACCACAGGCACCAAGTCTTGTCACTCTCCATAATATATAACAGAAATTTGCTAGGGTATACAGTGTAACAGCTTATCCTCTTCATATATTAACATGTTTTGCTTAGAGATACATTCATTTGTAGCTAAGCACAGTAGGTCTGAATTTCCCATCTGTCTTTCTGAATTAACATTTCGAACACTCCTGCTTCCTTTGCCTTGACGAGACACGCTTTGCCACTGTCAACCTTCCCTGGCCCCAGTGAGGTTCATTGCTCTTGTCAGGCTCTCACTGATGATTGCACATGGTGGCAATGGTGCCATGCGGAGGCTAGCCATCCTCAGCATGCAGTAGCCTGTCCCGACCTGAAGTCCCCTCTTTGAAGCCCCGTCACTTACGCAGTTTTGGATGTTGAGTTTAGAATATAGTTTTTTAGCTGAATTTAGTCTTTGGTCTGAGACTTGCCGTTATCCCATCAGCCTTTCCAAACGCAGCCTTCCTTATGTCTATCATCCCTTTATTCTGTATCACAGTGATAATGTAGGGACTAAATGCCGGATATCTGTGGTGTGTTATGAACCATATGGTAGAGGTTCAGTGAAAGCAGAGGGATAGGGTAGGTCATGGTGGTGCATGCCTGCAGGGCCAGCACTTAGGAGGCTGAGGCAGAACTTGTGGACCTCCAGTTCATAAGCTGTGTAGCAGGACTTGGTCTCAAAACCACCACTCACCCAACAAACAAGCCTATACCCTGAGGTTTTTGCTATCTTTTAAACCAAAATATATTACTTACTTTTAGCTTTAGGTTTTATATACTACGTGGAAGAGTTTTATATGTTTTGATTCTTGAGCATTAAACAGAATAGAAAATTAACTCAGGGGTAGACTCAGTATTTAAATGGGAAACAATAGCACAATTTCATGCTGAATTTAAGATGTTATTATTTCTATTGCATATAAAATTCTTCGTGAAAATTATATTCACTTGCCAGATGTTGAGAATAATAAGTACAGAGTGTAGAATTCACATCAATCCTAGAAGCTGCCCCTTCTCCCCTGCCCCCGGGGCAGTGATGGGCTGACTTTTACAGTAATGTATGCTCACCAAGTTGATTGGCTCCCATGATTTTGAAATTGTTTGTGGGTTCTCTTTTCTTTCTCTGACACTGAACTAGATAGAGCTGTCAAAACAAGAGTAGTCAATAATCAGGACCTGAAGTACTCAGATAATCTCTAATCAGTATATGAATTTAATGAAATCAAGGGTGTTTTTCACTGAATACTTTTGTTATAGTATATGTTTATATCACCAAAGTATGTCCAAGGGAATAAGTTGGACTTACACCCCTATGATGTCTTACTTTTAAAAGTCTGTTGACTAGCATTTGTGAGGTCCTGATTCAATCCATAACACTTCCAAAAAGGAGAATAAAATCGACAAAAAATGAACTTAAAGCTTTAGGGCCAGTGACATGGCTCAGCTGCTCGAAGTGCAAGTTTGTCATCGTGAATTCCATTCCTTGATCCATATAAAGGGGAACACTGAGAAACAACTCCACAGTTGTCCTCTGACACACATAGCGCCTTGGCATGCATCCCCCATCATGCATGCATATGTACACAAACCAAAAATATATCCTAGTGTTCTGCCAGGTGTGATGGTGTTCATGTTTAATCCCAGCACCCAGGAAGCAGGGGCGAGCATATCTCTCTGAGTTCAAGGTTATCCTGGTCTCTATAGTGAGTTTCAGGCTAGCCAGAGCTGAACAATGAGACCCTGTCTTAAAAATACTGTTAACTTGACTATAGTTAAATCCATAAATATTTAGACAGAAAAGGTAAGCAGTCCATATGAAGTAGTGCATGAAAATAGCCAGGCTAAGTAACCCTAGGGCTGGTTGCTTGAAGTGGGGGAGATGAAACTAGGTGGGGGCAAGAAGTTGTTTCTGGGACCCTTGTGAATGTTCCTGAATCAAACCACCAGGCAAGTGGTTGAGACGTAACATTTCCCACTCTGACAAACAGCAGGTTTTCCCCCATGATAGTGGAATGGCCTGAGCAGGTGACTGGAAGGACCTCCTCCCCTTGATGGGTTTTTGCCATTAGGGGTTTATTTGGTTGGGTGAACAGATGTCCTTGAGAAGGCAGGTGGGGAGTAAGGGCTGGGGTGAAGGAGCAGAGTTAGCAGCCGTCCGTATGTCAGTGTAGGGTTACACGGCCGGCTCTATGCACGTGTGCTGTGCTATCAGCAATTTTCTCTTAGAGGAGGCAGCTGCTAGTGTGTAAGCAGGTGTTTCAGAGGGAAGTGAAATGTGGACAGAGGCTCAGCAGTGTCCTGTGAATAAAGAAACAAAACGTGTAGATGAGGCTTCGAGGGGATGAGGGTGGAAGAAGATTAGGGCTATAGAATGAAGAGGAGAGACTAGATATATAAACCAGATGCCTTTTGCTGCCCAGTTTTACCAAATCTTCCCTCAGTTCAAAGAAAAGATTCAGCTCAACTGTCAAGAGCCCCAACTTAACTTGCTTCTTACTCGTATTCTGCTTTTAGTGGCATCAGAAAGCGACAGGGCACTTGAAAAGAGAACTGACTACATTGTCTGTGTGCAGAAACAGGGCATTTCTTTGCCAAGATAGTCTAGCAAGAGGCTCTTATGGGCACCATTGACATGTATACTAAAGATGCATGCACTGAAGACATACATAGATGCTCAATGAAAGGCCATGTAAAACAACTGAACTATGCAGCATCTTGCCTTCAAATATTTGATTTAGTAACTAAAACCAGAAATGTAAACTTGTTATCCTAATCCTGACAGATGTGGAAAGTATCAGCTAGAAGACAGAGAAGAGACTAGCTTTGGGAGAGGGGAAGTTGGAGAAGTTTCATTTTGAGGTCAATTTGTATCTAGGATATATAGCTAGGATATATATACATCCTGTAAGCAGAGACAACGCATGAATGTGTTGTGAGTGATAAATAGCTCACTTTGTGTATAGGTTAGATATTCATACAGGCCATAGGAAATTGTAAAAGTGCCCATTTGAATATATGTTTACTAAGAGCCTTGAGGAACTCAGATTTTAAGGTGAATGTAGGTGATCGAGCCCCAGGGGTGTTCTTTGAAATGGAAAGAGATTTAGTTAGTGCTCTGGTTTAGTCTATCCATTCTGCAGTCTGGATTGGAACGAATAGAGATGAAAGCAATAGACAAATAAGAGGTCACCATAACCACAAAAGAGATCCTGTGATCTCCCTCTAATCCTGCATAGCAGTAGAGCTGGAGACAAGGAGGGAGAGACATGCCAGGGATTCAGATTGCATTAACATTAGTAAATTTACCATGAACCTGGCGAGAGGCTATATCATTTTTGTGTTATATGATGATTTGGAAACTTACTTCAAGTGGGAGACAAGAGGAGATGGCTCTGATGTTGACTTCTGTTTTCAGTTTGGATAACTGATAAAATTGTGGTCCCAACAGCAAAGTAGGTAGGAGGAGTGGTCCTATTGTCGGCTCTAGCGTGTAGTAGAAATGAAGCAGAGGAGATGGAGTGTGCAGGGACTAGATAGAGAAGACCTTGGATGGACCTTACAGAACAGAAAAACGAGTCCAGCCTGATTCTGAACTTAATTCATAGATTTGCTGGGTTAAGATGCCCATGACGTCTCCTGGCCAGACTTTCCCTTTATCAGTCATTGTAAGACCTACCTAAATGATCTGAAGGTCCCTTGCCTTTCTAAAATTGTATCCTTTTATTTTATCTGTAAGCTTCTGCGTGTCAGAGGATTAACATCTCACTTTGTTGGATCACAAATACCTACAGTAGTTCTTGACAGTTGATTGATAGTTAGTAATTAAACCTGCCCTTAGCAGAGCATACACTGACTGGTGGTATTCACAAATTATAACTCTTCTAGCTGGAAATGTATCATCTAAAGTTCTCACAGACGTATGTAATTAAGATTTCTTCTAGGCAAGTGTTCTACTAATGCAGTGTACCCCAAATGGATTTGTTTTATACTAGCCCATGGGGTTTATACATATCTGTATTCTAAAAGCACGGGATTAAATCTGCCCTAGTAAAGTGAGACCAAAGTGATTATGATTAACATAAAGCATTTTTATTTTACCTTTTGTTTTTCAACTGTCTAATCCAAACCTCTGTCGTAGGTTCACTGATGTACTTAAATGAAGCCACACTCCTCCATAATGTCAAAGTTCGGTACAGTAAAGACAGAATCTATGTAAGTATTTGACCAGTGTCTTCAGCTTTTGTGGCTAATTGTCTCACATGCCGAATGTGCTTTTGCCCTGCTTGGTCTGTGTGCGATGGGTGTGAGAGTTCTAATGTGTGCTTGCCATGTAGAGCTCCCCAGGAGCCTGGTACACAGTGGGTACTTAATCAAATCTGCAGAATGAGATAATGAAGTCAGAGTGTCAATTAACCTACTTTAGGCTTATGAAGGTCCATTTTGAGTGTTTAAAAAACTATCTTGGAGTTTGATTTTTTTTTTTTTGGTATATAGATCTGTTTAATTTCACTTTCACACTGTTCAGAGAATTTCAGGCAGCCTATATGTATTGAAGTAAAATAAAACCAAACTAAATGAGGAAAAATACATAAATTTAAATGGAAGGCAATAGCAGAAGAGGTATCAGATATACAAGAACTCTGATCATGGAGCCTAAACAATTGTAGGATTTCATTAGCCCCTAAATGCTGGCCCTAATTGTCCAGATCATTAAACACAAAGAAAGACAATGCTTTTGGTGTAAGTAGTTTGTATCAGATCATTCAGATAGATATTTAGCTACTGTGTTTTAATTATAACTATTCATTGGGCACACATGAATGAGATTTTATTTTGGTATGACCTGGTTATAGATTCCTTTGTCAGCCGGAGATAGATTACCACACTCTGGTATCCTGTTATAAAGATGGGGCTTCATTATTTTTGAACGAAGGACGCACATGGCTTCTTTGACACCTACAAGATCAAATGACAGTTTTAATCTTTTATATCACTATCAATTTGCCTAATTGTACTTACTTAATTCTGACTAAATTATATCTAGTCTTTGCCATCTGTCCAAGTAGTGACAGCTGGGAAATAGAACTAATGTAGTCTGTTCCCAAAGAACGTACTTGTCTCCAAGCATGCTGCTAGACTTTACTTTCCTGTATTTTACCCCTTAAGTCCAACTAAGTAAAGAATGTATTTAGGTGTAAATATAGGTATTCTTGGGTAGAACTATTTTCAGAGGCAACATTTATTCATTCTATAGCTTGCAGTTGAACAGACTCCAGTGTTCACCAAGTGCTGTTTGAAACACCGAAGCAATAAAGTTTTAAAACTATTAGAGAGTTCAACTAGTAGCAAGCCAGTGAAAATTAATTTGGATATAACCAGGAGGCTGCTTCTCCTGAGTAGAAAGTCAAGTGTTGTCAGGGTTGTCTGAAGTCATATGTGGTGTGTTCTTTTCTCTTAGCCAGTTAGGCCTTTTGGTTATAAAGTCATTAAATGTGGGCAATCCATAATTGCATCTGTTAATTATTATAAAAGCTAAATAAAGGTGTCAATTGCTATCCTATATACATGCATGATTATGTAAAATAAACAATTTAGAGTAGTAGTTTAAATGATATTTGTACTCAACAGAAACACCATTCTCCTTTATATTTGAGTAAAACAGCAGGAGAACCTTATTTAACCTTTTCAGGTTGCTGAAACATCTAATCCTTTACTTTGGTTCTTATTTTTTAAAAGATTTATTTATTTTTATTTTATATGTATGTGTATTTTGCCTATATGTATGTTTGTGTAGCATGTATGTAGCCAGTGCATATGAAGGTCAGAAGAAGTTGTCAAATCCCTTGTTGGAATCATGGATAGTAGTGAGCCACCATGCGGGTGCCTGGGGAACCAAACCTGGGTCCTATGTTTGAATAGACACTGCTGAGCCAAGTCTGCAGCCCCTCCATCCTCATTAGTCACTCTTCTCTAGGAGACATGCCTTGGGACTTTGTGTGCATTTAGCAGTTTGAGAGCTCAGGATTTTATACTTCTCTTCAACAGTTGGAAAGAAAAGAGAAAAGTATGATTTTGTATGCTCCAGTTTTGTCAGTTTTACTAAACTACAACTCTACCTGAGTAGGAGTTTTATATATTCTCCTAGTATATTTCTGTGGTCTTAAAAAAAAGACCAAATCCAATTTCAAAATTTAAGAGAAATTCAAGTTGTTCATGAAACAGTTAATCGCAGTGGTTGGCATGTGGTGCTTTGCAGAACTCCCAAGACCAAGTGGTTGTCTCAGCACTAAGTCACTCCTGAGTATTCACTGACAGGGAAGGCTCAGAAGGAGCTAAAGTCCCTTAAATGCTCTAGGAACAGATTGCGTGGTCTGAGGATACCTGTGACCTGAATTGAGTCTTAGGACCCAGCTTGGGGGTCCCTAAGTGGACTCAGCAGCAGAAGCCTCCGTGGGAGATTTAGATACTCAGATCTAGGTGGTGATGTGGTTAAGCCATGTACCAGGAAGAACTATGGGAAGGTTTTTTTGTTTTTGTTTTTTTTGAGACACAGGGAAGTGAGAAGATATAATCTTGATTTTGAAGGTGTTGACCTTGAAATGACTGTGGAATCACAGCATAAAAACGTTTATTTGAAAATAAGTATTTCTTTGAAATTTTAGAAATGGTAGGTTCTTTAAAATCAGAAAATATTTAATATAGAGCTTGAAATGTGGATTTTGAAGTCTTGTTTGTACAAGAATTGATGGGTTCTATATCAGTTTCATTTTTCTGCCTTTCCTACTTAGACATATGTGGCCAACATTCTGATTGCAGTAAATCCATACTTTGATATACCTAAAATATATTCTTCAGATACAATAAAGTCATATCAAGGAAAATCTCTTGGGACGATGCCACCTCATGTCTTTGCTATTGGTAAGTTGTAGTTTAATTCTTGTCTTGTATCATATGAATTTACTAGATTTTTAAATTGTTTTGAGTCGTTTAAAAGATTTCATAGTATAATTCATTGTACATGGTACTGTGTTACATTAGGATGTTTTTATGGAAGTATGTACTGTTCATTGTATATATTCACCCTCCACCATACTCTTCCTCACACTCTGTACTCTTCTCTACCTTCTTCCTCTTGCTAGTCCATTTGTTTCCCAGTTTCACCTCTACTTTGATGTAATGTTTACATTATGTGATTTCAAATGTCTATATGAAATCTAGGAACTGTACAGGAAGACAAGAGACTGGCTCAGTTTGTTTATTTTGATATTTTTCAGTTTCATTTATTCTCCTGTAAATGATGTAATTTTGCTTCTCTTTATGGCTGGAAGTTTTTCATACCACATTTTTTTTTTATCTCTTCCTGTGTGTTGGACACTCAGGTTGGTCCCAGAACTTAGGTATTGTGCATTGTGCTGTGATAAACATTGGTGTGCAATGACCTGTGAGGTCCCTTGACTTGGAGTCCTTTGGGTAAAACACTCAGGAGCAAAAATTGTTGGTTTCAATATTAATCATTCATAATTTTGTCATTAGAACATCTTCATATATGTGTATAATGTATTTTGATGGTATTCACCCCATTTCCTTTTTGGTCTCCTTACTACTCCCATGAATCTTCTGCCTGCTCCAACCACAGCTTTTGTACTTTAGTCTCGTGTGTGTGTGTGTGTGTGTGCGTGTGACCCAATGGGTTTAATTAGTTTTGTTTACAGGAGTGTGGGGACCTTATCATAGCTATATTACTGGAGAAAATGTCTCTGTCTTCCCCATCAACCAGTGACTCTGCATAAATTCTTAGGAAGCAGTGGAGATCTGTGAGCCTTTCTTGCTCCATGACAGGCTTTTGGCAGGGTCAGTGTTGAGCAGATAATCATAACTGCTCTGAGGTCAGATTTGGGATGGTCATGTCATTTGTGGTAATCGGCATTTCATTTCTCCCCTCCCCCCATCCCTTTCTGTGTGTCTGATGTTCTTTCTGAACAATCCCTTTGACATTTTTGTATATTCTAGATATCAATTATTTGTTTGCTATCTAGCTAGGGAAGATTTTCTCACATTCTGTAGGCTATCTCATCACCTAATGTTTCCTTTGTTACTCAAAGATTATTAATTTCATGAGATCATATTCGTCAGTTATTGGCATGGTTTCCTGAGTGACTGGAGACCTCTTTAAGCCCATTCACAAAGTCTTTGTCTATGTGCCTATCTTTTATTTGACCTACTTTTTCTCTAGCAGTTTCAGAGTTTTAGGTTTCACACTAAGGTTTTTTCATACATAAAGAGCTGATGTTTGAATAGGGTGGGAAATAAGGATTTAGCTTCATTCTTCTATATGTGAATGAAAGGCTGTCTTTTCTCCAGTGTATATCTTTGGCTCTTTTGTTAAAAAAAAAAAAAGAATCAGGTGGTTTGTATCTGGGCACTGCATTCTATTCTATTGACCTACATGTCTGTTTTTGTGCCTGCACTATGCGTTGTTGTTGTTATTGTTATTATTATTATTCTGTAATACAACTTGAAATCAGATATGGTGGTCTCTACTATTCTTCTTGATTAAGATTGTCTTGGTTATCTGGGATCTTTTGTTTTCCCATATGAACTTTAATAGCTTTTTTCTACTTACATGAAAAATGGCATTTTGATGGAAATTGCATTAAATCTTTAGATTGCTTTTGTCTGTATAACCATTTTCATAATATTGATTATTTCCACCTATGAGCATGGGAGGTCTTTCTCCTTTTCTAGTATCCTTTTCTATTTCTTCTCAGTATTTGAAAGTTTTTATTGTGGTGTCTTTCACTCCCTTAGATGCTTTTCAGGGTATTTTATTTTTTGATACAATTATAAGTAGAATAGTTTCCTTGATTTCTTTCTCAACATGCTTGTCTTTGGTGTTTACTGGTGTATATTGGTGTATATTGGTGTAACTACTGATCTTTGTATGTATTTTGCATTCTGTCAATATTTCTGAAAGTGGACCTTAGCTCTCAGAGTTTTCTGTTGCATACTTTGGGGTCTCTTATGTCCAGTCATATCATCTGTTAATGATCTGACTAATGTTTCTATTTGTGACTCTTTTATTTCTTTATCTTGTATTATTTCTATAGTCAAGGCTTGAAGCACTATGTTGATGAGAGTGGGAAAAGTTGAAACTGTTGCATTTGTCTTGGTTTTAGTAGGAATGCTTCCAGATTTTCCTCTTAGTACCGTGTTGACTTAGCTGTGTTACAAACAGCCATTGTTATTTTGAGAATGCTCCTTCTATGCCTCATCTATTTGGAGATCTAAACATGGAGAGATACTGGACTTTGTCTAAAGCCTTTTCTGCATCTATTGAGATGTTCATGTGATTTCTCTGTTAGAATTTGTTAGTTATTATTATGTTTCTTGATTTGCATATATCAAATAATTCCCAAACTCTGCAATGAAGCCAATTTGATTGCAGTAAAGGATCTTTTGGACATATTTTTAAATTCAATTTTCAAGTATTTTATTTATAAGTTTTGCATCAGTATCCACCAGGGGCATTGGTATGTAATTTTGTTTTTTGTTGTTATGTCTATCTTGTTTGGGCTTCAGGGTGATACTAGCTTTCTACAAATAATTTAGTAAATAATTTAGCATTTTTTTCTGTTTTGGATTGGTTTGTGAAATGCTGATGCTACTTTGTAAGTCTGATAGAATTATACAGTGAATCAGTATGGGCCTGGACTGTTTTTAAGTGTAGGATTTTAAAAAATTATTATTTCAATCTTGATACAGACTTGTTCAAATTGTTTATCTTATCTTGGTTTAATTTTGGTAGTTTATATTTTAGAAATGCATCCTTTTTTAATCAAAAATTTTAAATTTAATTTTTGATAATTTAATACATTTATACAATGTATTGTGATCATTATTCATCCCACTACCCATTCTTACCCCTTTCTACATCTCTCTTCTCTCAAACTAATTCCCATCTTATTTTCATATTTTAGTTTTTGGGCAGGTCATGTATATACAGGTTCCCATAGCTGCTGGGTGTTCATGATTACATCATGTCACCTAGAGACAGCATTTCCTTGACTTCTCCATCTTCAAGTTCTCACATCCTTTTCTTGCCCCTTTCTGGGATGTTCTCTGGAGCGGGTGTTACAGACGGCTTGTTTAGAGCTGAGCACGCCATAGCCACTTACTTTCAGCCTTTTGACAGGCATGAGTCTCTATATTAACTGTTACTTCCGAAAGTTCTTCTGTGGCCAAGGCAGATAGTAGCACTAGTATAATGTATAAATATAAATATTTAAACAGCAGTTTCACTTCATGTCCATTTAGCTTCATATCAGCGACAGGTTTCCTCATAGGAAGCCATGAGTTTTTGCCCATGTTTACTGTACCAGGTACATGTTTCTTTCCATGGATTGGGACTCAAATCAAATCAGATTTGATTACCCCACCCCCACAAATAGTTGTGCCACTATTGCACCAGTGGGAGCGTCTTGCCTGGCAGATTGGTATTAAAGTACTCAGCATCTACAGCCCAGTAAAGCCTTTGACACCTCACCCTGAAGCAGCTTGCACAGCATCTTCCAGCACTAAGAACGCAGTGGCCTTGACGCTTCAAGCTTAGGTCTGGCTTGGTTTATTTGTGCATTGCATCCCGCATGTGTGGTGTCTTCAGCAACAGAGCCTTTCTGTCTAGTTCCTGTGGGTGACGAAGAACAATGGCAATAGTTCCCACTGTCTTGGGAGCCTCTGTGGTCTCCCTGGACAACAGTTCACGAGGCTCTTGGACTTTTGTTCAATGACTTCTGGGAGCAGCATGACTAATTCATGCAGAGTACTCTTCAGTCAAGCTTTAAAATATCTTCGTGTTACCTTATAACTTAATGGGGTTTATGTGACAGTTCCCTATTCGCCAAGCTTCTGTTGAGCTGACACACCCATTTAGTTTCCTTCATTGTCCCCACTCCAATCCCACCTAAACTTCATAGCTCTAGTATTACCCCTGTGTTTCCTATCACATGTGCTTTACTATCTCCATCTAACTGTGTGTATCGTCCTGTCACTCCCCAACCCCCCACCCCCAGTATACACTCCTCATGTCCCTTTACTTATTCTTTGGCTTCCACAAAACCTACTCCAATTTAAACTTAGAAATATAAAAAAATTGAAGCCAGGATCCCCATATTTTCATTGAGGTTCCCCATCTTAATGGAATATAGGTCTGAGAGTTTCCCTAGTATCTTTTGTAATGTCTCCATTTTCATCTCAATTTTTATGAATTTTAGGCTTTCCTTTCTTTAGCTAGCTTAGCTAAGGGTTTTTTAGTCTTGTTTAGTTTCTTCCAAAGGACCAATACAAAGAATCATTGTTTCAGTGATTCTTTGTATTCTTTTATTTTTCTTTTCCATTTTATTAATTTCTACTTGATCTTAACTATTTCTCTTGTCTGAATTTCACTTTGACTTGTTTTGTTCTTCCACACCCCCAAGATACACTGTTATATGTTTCTTTGAGATCTCCTTGATTGTCATTTTTTAACCCTAAGCACTGGCAGCCATAAATTTCTATTTTAGAACACCTCTGGGCAGTCCTTCACGGGTCAGGTCACAGAGGCTGGCCACATGCCTGGCCAGTCCTTCAGGTACAAGGTTGCTAATGCTAGTCTCCTAGTTAGTTTATTTATTTAATGAACGATACCATGTGTCGAATACATATTTTGCAAGGCCTGTATGCCTCTTGGGTGTATTAGTGTTGTTAGGAGCCTGTATCCTGCACAGGGAGGACCTGAATACTTTGTAGCCAACTCATGGCTTACTTCCTTATTTATCAAATTCCTGTGTCCTCTGAGGTGTGCCTGCCCCATTGAAGGTAGACTTAATAAAAGACAGCTTAATAGTATGTATTAGAGAGAGAGAGAGAGAGAGAGAGAGAGA